TCTCTTCCTTTCAGGTGGTCAAAAGGCAAAGTTATTTTGCAGTTTTTTCTTCTAAAACCTTGCAAACCAGGCGGCTAGGACTGGCTGGTGGTCACATACAGCCTGAACCAAGGAGTTTGAGAAAAGAAGCTTTAGTGGGAGGCACAGGGTAAAAAGAAAATTTAAGAAAAGAACAAAGAACCACACATTCAGTACATTTAAGAAATTTCTTGTCATATTTAAATCCTCTCTGAATTAAAAGGATGATAGATGGGCTGAGCTCTAGCGAAATGAAGTAGTCTTCATGTGACGGCTTTATAAAGCTTCAAATTCTGCAATGAAAATTTGAGACAGTTTGAATCAAATTGATTCAATTACCATTACGATAAAAGTAATAACTTTTATAATTTTATGATAAAACGGATTATTTCCAAAGTCTTTGTTTTGATAAAATATTTCCTGTCTGGTTCCCATTGTCTTTTCCGCTTCCAGGCTGAAGTGTTTTGAAATAAAGATCTTTGTCTCATCTTTATACACATAGAAGGAACTTGGGATGTGTGTCTGCCCATCTTTATGTCTCCTGTTGTTTGCATGGTTAAGAACTCCACAACTAACTGAATGCCTGAGGAAGTGGCAATGCTTGCCTGATAGATGGCAAAATTCCACTATGGTTTTCTCTCTTCTTCCCAGTGTTTCATATCTGTCTGTCTTTGAAATACATTGATTGAATTTTATCTGTGGAAATACCAAGATTCAGTTAACAAATTTTGGAATCGTTGAAGTTTAGTTTATTAATGAGTCATAAGTAATTGCCTTGAAAATCAAGAATACTTTTTCTGTCACTGTACTTCTAGGCTAGGGTGAAGGGGCCTCCATAAGGTTTTCTTTTTAATTCCAGAATGTAAAGAGACTAAAATTAGGAATAAGCAGCAGTAAATATGGAGCATATCCTTTATTATTTAACCAAAGGAAGTTGGATATTGCCCTGAAAAAAACTGCATTAAAGTGTAAAAAAAGTGTACATTGACATGGCTTCCTAGTCCTCGGCCTGTTATCTCAGCTCTCCTGCACACAGGGCATTGCCAAGAATATGTTTTTCCAAATTTTTATTTCACTCTCAAGATAGTCCTGGAAACAAATTAATCATTATTTCTGGAAGAAAGTGAAATTAATATTACTCTTGAGGATCAGGAGAAAGCAGATGAAACGCAGAAAGTGTAATGTGCTTCATATGGCTGGGAATCCAATACTGAACCAAACATGTTTTGGCATCTGAAATTAAACCCTATTGTTCCTATTTGTAATAGTATTTTCTCTCCTATACTGCCTCTGTGCCTTGAATAAATGAGGGCGCTCACAGCTGAACTGATTGCTATGGTTACAGGCAATCTGTGTTGCATCTCCTGGAAGTAAAAAAAGAGGGTAGTTTAAGGTAAACATTATCTTTCTTTTATGGAGAACAATTCTCTCACCACTGCACCCCTGGCTCAGGCTCCGTTAAAAATATATGAAGAGTACATTAAGATCCAGGTTCTCATCCACCCTCCTGTCCCACTCACAAATGGACACCCTTGATGCCCAATGCTATTTTCATCTCCAGAGGAGCAGCTGACTTGGTTTCTGGAGTTTGGGGGTTAGGAGCATATTTAGAGTTGCAGACACAAAGAAATCTGTGAGACCTGCAAAGTTATGTTTGTTATTATAATGTGTTTGGTAAGCACTGGTATTGTCATTGGCACCAGACCACTGAGCCTTAATACTTCCGATGTTGCAATAGCTAGCACTGATAGTGTTGGTACTAACATGGTGCGTGATTTTCCTCAGCCATGCCTCTCTCCTAAGGGCTTGATGAGGAGTCGGGCCCTTAGGTTCTGTGGAAGGCTGGTCTACATTCAATCTTATTTGAGTTCATCTCCCAAGCATGTGTTGAGAGCCTACTGTGTGCCAGGTGCTCTCCTAAGTTCTGAACATACAGAGATGAATCAATCTCTCCTCTCTTGGGGACCTGAGTCAGACAATCAGTGTCTTTCCAAGGATGAAAGAGTGAGCTATGAAAGAAGACTTCTTTAGACTTTTTATTTAGGTTTTCCAAAGAATTTGACTGTGGCTGAGAGCAGCTTTTTCTGTTTAAGAGAAAGGTAGCAGGTATGAGAGCCCATGATCAACCCTGAATGTTTCAGCCATCCTAGAAACTGCAGCTAGAATACTGTATCTTCCTCTATGCATTTCTCTATATATTTTAGCCCATGTTTCGTGTTTCCCTGTGTCTCCTTTTAGTTTATTTTTTCCCTCTGTTCTCTTTTTGTCCTCCTTATAATATATTTATAGATGATTTTTAACCCCTTTTGTCTCTTATTTTAGATAATTCCCCTGGTAATTGCAGCTCTGTTGAAATTGGAATTGAAATCAGGAAGTAAATGTTATAATTCACTACTAATGAGTTCATACTTTTCCTTGCATAAGAAAGATATTAATGGCATGAACTAAGCTGACTGGTTTGCTCTCTGGAAGGAAGAGGTTTTATTTCTTGGTTACAAATCCAGCTTTTGGGCAAGGGTTGCTGTTTTGTACAAAGCACATTTTAAGCCTGATTGTTATTGTGCAGGAAGCGATCCAAGGAAAGCTCAGTGTTTGAGGTAAACTGGTCAGCACCAGATCTTGATGGAGATGTATTCGTTCCCTTTCTGTTGGTTTAGAGTGGTCTGGTCAGCCCTTTAGCAAATGTCAATCTTCAGACTTGAATACGGGCAGAAAATCTTGCTGTCCTGATGGCGAAGGAGGGGAAGGCATCGAGAATTGGACGCATAGTCTAACAATTTAGCTTTCATTTCAGAAGTCAGAGATTTTTAAGGACCTATCTAGGAGAATTTTAATACTCATGTAAGAATTTCAGCACATTCAACATTCATGCCAGTTGCTTTCCTTTGCCAAAGTGGGATAAGTTTTTATTTTGTCCAAAATAACACATTGTTCAGTATTTAGTCTGCTCGGATAGGTTTGTCTCTTAGATTTCAGAAGAGTCCTTCTGCCCCTTCAGTTCATCTCAGATTATTTAGGTTTTTTGACTTTCAGGAGGGATGTGAAAAGGGAAGGTGCAGGGTAAAATTGGGCTGGGGTTTTTGTTCCTTTAGGCCGTAGTGACTGTGGCTTCTGTGTTTGCTTGTGACAGTGGTACATCTACTAACTTAGACCCGGGCATGAGCCAGAGCATGAAGGAGGTGCACCCATTCACGGAATGGAGAAAAATCGATGAATATAGAGAGTCTGGCTAAATTATTAGAAATACATTTTTTGCAAAACTACTTTGGATCCCAGTTTTTAGAGCCCTTAACACTTCACTATGTCAATCTCCTTGCTTATTAAGGATAACGACTGTGAAAGGCGTTAATCAGTTTCAGAAAGGGAAATATTTGAAAACCTAGTAGGTCTCTCAGGGTTTTATGCAGCAGTTAACTGTGCTTTAGAGGCCCCACCTTCATGCACATGTGCACACACACACGCGCGTGCACACACACATACCCACATAATACTATCAAGCTGCTTAGAAAGAACTCAGTATGAAATTTACTCCTAGCAGATCGCATGCAGGGAAAGTAATGGTAGGGATTCACTTCCCAGGAAGCTTCATAGAGATGTTTGGCCTTCTGGGAAAAAATTTTCAGGGAGGTTTGTGGAAAAAATTGAAGATTAGGCACAATGACTTGGTCAGTATTGAAGTAACTATGAGGAGACATTTAATGTAAAATGAATAATAATATAGCATTTAACAGGCACCAAACATCAACACAGAGTAATCTATATTAAGAACCTTGAGTTATATATTACGGCTTCCCAAAATGGGCTCTTGACCTGTGTCCTAGCTATATTTTAAAATTAAAACAGAAATAGAGCATCTCTTTTTCGTTATTTCCTTGCTTAAGCCGAGAGGACTTAGATGCCTTCCCTGAATACAGAATCCTTTCCAACACTCTGACAAACAAATTGAGGGAGATTATGGGTCTGGTGTGCATGCTGGTCAACCAGCTGCATCCTCTACAGGTTCTTTTAAATATTTTGTTTTTCTCCAGAGATTTTATTTCTGACTCTCAATTTGTAATGTGGACATTGGCCGTGTATCCCAAGATTCAGAGTAGGTAGCTGAAATATTCCCAAACAGGCAAACATGAAAGGAGTCTGAGCAGTTGTGTTTGTTGGTTGGAAAGGGAATTGTTTCATGTTTTCCACCAAACACCTCTCCACCCTCACACCGCCCTTTCCACATGCCCAGAGTAACCAGGAAGAGTGACTTTCTCTTTATAAATTTAAGTTTTCATCTTAAAACTTAATAAAATGTCCATGCAAAGACTTTTTCTTCCTGGTTCTATGCATTTACTGTTTCTTTACTTTTTGCTTTTTGGTTCCATTTACCCCTGTGATCACTTATAAAACCGGAATCCTGATTAATTATTAATGGTATCATTTTGACAAAAGGACAGAGCCCTGCTTTTCATATAGCTATTCTTAAGCTATTTGATAGAGCTAAGTCTTCAAGTAACTACAGTCATAGAAGAAACATGGTGCTGTTAAATGAGAATAGTCAATAGATACAAATTCTACAATTGAAACTTCCGTTAGATGTCTGACAAGGTGGTAAAGTTTTCTAGGCCTCCATTTTCTCATTCTGACAAATGAGAATGTTGTGCTAGATGTTTTCTCATTTTTTTTAACCCTGATAGTCTGTGGTTTGGAAATTATAATCCACAGATGTTGATTACAGTAATTAAAATTCTTTACCCCTGACCAAAGTACTATCTTTATATTAACTAAGATGTTAGCAGTACCTCTATGAAAGGAATATTCTTAATGCAGTTAAACTAAAGCTTTCAAGAATTCCACATTTAATAATTCAAATTGAAAAAGCCATTCATTCCCAACTAAAAGGAAGACATTTCTAGAAGGGCAGGGGTGGGTAGTATCTGGGCTTTGTGGACATCTGGAATACATTCTTTTTCACCTTTTCATTGCTCTTCTTCCCTCCCCAGGAATCCCAAAGCCAGCATGCTCTTCAGCTTCATATCTCTGGATTGTGAACATACAGGTAATGGAGTTAGAGTATGCACTTTCAAATCTCCCATGGTCTTAAGACTCTTGAAGTAGTCTTCATAACAAAAAACCCTCTCTTTTAAAAAATAGAGTGCTATAGAATTTTTTTTTTTTAAAAAAAGATATCTTAAAGGAATATTGCTAAAGGAACTCAAAAGGAAGACCGTAAGAGAAATTTTCTATATTTGCTAGAGTAAAATTCCTTGAGTACAATATTTGGAAAAAAGAAAATCTGGTTTTGTTAAAAGTTCACACTTACACTCAAAAAAGTGTTGACTTGGAATCTACCACATTCCAGGCACTCTGGTGGATGCTTTATTTTTCATCCAATTTAAACCTCACAGTGATACTGTAAAAAAAAAAAAAGTATTATTCTTTTCAGATGATGACAGTGAACATCAGTAAATGTACTTTCCAAGCATTTACATTGAGTTTCTTGGCTCCAAGCACCAAGGAAAAACATCATCTGAATCCTTTTCTCCCCAAGATTAAATTATTCAAGTCCTCAAAATTACTAATAGTATGCTAATCAAGTGCTGTCTACAGAAAGCTTTACACTAGAAAGACAAATGATTTGGAAGTAATATATCAAAACAGCCAGCTTCATGGGTTGCAATTACATAATTTGTATATAAATGGATTCACTTAGATAAGCATTCTCCTTCTGGGTTTGTCCATGCCATAGTAATTTGCTTACCGAGCCCTTTTTTCAAGCTATAGTGCAGAGGTAAACATCAACCCATGTCTCAGCTGTCGCCAGATTGATGAAATCCAAGTGAATTTGGATTTATCTTCATGCAATTATGGGAATATACTACAATCATTATGGTTATACTCTGAGACATCAATTTGTTTTGGGCGTTGAAAGTTATATAATATTAAATTTATGTCTTGGAAAGTGGTAAAGTTGTTATAGAAAACATGTTTGCTCTCTTTTCAAAGTTCAAAATAAGAAAGTATTTTTTTTTTTAAGATTTTATTTTTTTCCTTTTTTTTTTTCTCCCCAAAGCCGCCTGGTACATAGCTGTATATTCTTCGTTGTGGGTCCCTCTAGCTGTGGCATGTGGGACGCCGCCCCAGCATGGTCCGATGAGCAGTGCCATGTCCGCGCCCAGGACCCGAACCAACGAAACACTGGGCCGCCTGCAGCGGAGTGCGCGAACTTAACCACTCGGCCACGGGGCCAGCCCCCAATAAGAAAGCTTTTTTGATGTTAAAACTAATTTACATCAAAAAGTTAATAAAACTTTGCAATTTTTTAATATCCTATAACATTCAGAGAAAAGAACTAAGCGATCAATGGCAAAGTTCCTATTTTAACATCCAAAAATGTCCAAAAGAATGGGTCCCGGATTGGTTTGAAAGTCAAGTTGCACTTTCTGCTTCTCTTTAAGCCTGTTTGATTGATTAATGGCGCAGTTTCAAAAGGAGAAATGTCTTGCCGCTTGTTTTTTCTGGGCCCTGGCTGGAGGAAGTAAACCTTGGAGGGAGCAGTTTATCAGGAAGGATGAAGCTGTTCACCAGCATTGTGTCTGTTATTCAACGCCTTCTTGACTGCTGGAACGCAAGTTCTGGGAAGGCCCAGATACTCTGATGGGGACATGCAGTGTCATATGCTCAGTGTCCAGTCAAAGGAGAATGGTCTTTTTGCCTTTAATTTCAAGCTGAGAGACATGGACCAAAAGGTTGGCGAGAAAAACCAAGTTCAAACTTAAAAAGTACAACAGAAACAGATACCTTGATTAAGCATGATTTAATGCAAACAAATTTATACTCATCAGCACACCATAATTGTAGCTTAATTTCCCTGCTGCTGGGAACACTGGTATCACGCAGTCTGCCCACTGAAGAAGACCGGTCTGCTCTTATCCTTGAATGACTGCAGCCTGGTTTAAGATGAAGCATATTCATCAAAAAAAAAAACTGAGCTGACAGACTTATCTTTCTATGTTCTGAAATACCGTCTGATGCTTCATGGAGTGTCTTCTTCATAAAAGTTTGAACCTCTGCTCACACATTTCTCGGTCTCCAACAGACTGTGGGAAACAAGAATGAATGAAGATATCTTTTACTTTCATTGAATTCTGGCCAGGAAAGGTTTGAAGGAATATCACGTTTTCAGGTTCTCTTCAAGGGAACAAAAGAAAGAAAGAAAGAAAGAAAGAAAGAAACCTAACCAAACAAAAACACATACCTCTAGGTAAAATCATCCTCCTGTTACATCTCTGAGAATGACCTCGCTGATCTATCCTATTTGCCAGGAAACACCTGCCTCTCCAGTTGGCCTTTTGTTGGTTAATGACAGTGCGTCAAGGGGAAATAGCATTTCCTCTGTGTTAGATGTTTCTTTGTTAGAGCTGTATCACATTCTGGCATTTTTCTTTCCTTTCTTTGATGGAGAAAAAATGCAAGATGATAAGAAAGTCCTGATTGACATCACCACATTACCTTTGAATTATAAAGCCATTCCAGTTGCATCACTAGGGCTTGAATATGCCTTAGGCTCAGAGAGCATAATTGGCGTTTTCGCTTGCGGTTCCATTTTCTTCTGAAGGGTTACAGAATTAGAGCTAATAGAGACAGAAAGGGTATTCCAGAATATTACATTTAATTTGGCAGTATTGTCCATTTTGTAATATTCATAAACGCCTCTCAGTCCCTTCACACGCACTTCTTCTGTTGATGCTTCACTTGCCTTTTTTGGGGGCATATATATTCCATCATCAAATATACTTTCTTTCCCCTGCAATATCTTGTCCATTTCGGAGTTGTAGGGAATTGTGCTCATCTTTGTTTTTAAACTATATAATCATTGGCTTTTTGGTAATCATACCTGCAACTACTTTTTTCAGTATAGTGAAGCTTGGACAGTATTTCCACTCAAATTCTTGAGGACTGTAAAGATATATAACCAATAGTTTCCATTTTATGCCGTGGTTTCCCCCACTTTCATTTACATCTGAAGCTCTCATGGCTATATTTGGTAATCAGATTGCTGATGGATTGGCCTCTCAACTGATCTCCCTCCTGTAGATGCTGTGGTCACCTTCATTCCATACCCAGACATCGGGAATTTGATGAAGAGGGAACTTGAAGAAGTGCCAAGGGGATGAAAGACACAAAGAGAGAATTAATGGATCTGGGTTAACACAATGTAACAAATAGTTTTTTAAAAATGAGGCAAAAATAAATTATTTTCCTCCAAAACAAATTGAGGCAAAATGGCAAATGGGTCAAAATACAGAATTCATGAGTTGGCCTGGAAAACACAAAGACAGACCTAAAGATTGAATCTTGGACCTAAACTGCTTGAACCAAGATTCAAGCAATCAGAAGACCTAAACTGCCTGAATCTTGGTTAATTGATTAATTCATTAAGCAATTAGATATTGAATTCCAGGCACTACCCTATCAGGTACTGCTGAAAGCAATAAAAATGACAGCCCTGATCCCTGTCCTCGTGGAACTTACAGTCTAATGGGGGGAACATACATTATTTAAATAATTAGCAAAAACAATTACTTAATGTGAATGTGATAAGTGCAAAGGAAATTGTGAATTAAGAATGGTTTTTACATTTTTAAATGATTGAAAAAATCAAAAGAATGTTCTGTGACATATAAAAATTACATAAAATTTCAAATTTCAGTGCCCATAATAATAGTTTTATTGGCACACAGTCATGCTCATTTGCTGATATACTGTCTGTGGCTACTTTTGCACTACAATGGCAGAGTTGAGTAGTTGTGACAGAGACCATATGGTCCACAAACCCTAAGATATTTACTATCTGGCTCTTTATTTAAAAAAAGGTTCTACATCCCTGTTCCAAGGGAATGATTTTAAAAGTTGGTTTTGTTCCCTTGGTCAAGGCAAACATTGATTGCAGTAGAAAATGGAATCCCTGGCTGCTGTAGACCTCTCTTCTGTAGAAGTTGCAAGTACTGCTGGAACGAAATAAATCGAAATAGAAGGAAATGTAGGGAGGTTTTCAGGAAAGCTGGCTTGATCAGGGGAGAAGCCAAGACTGAATATTTGTATTATTTTAATTTTCACTGCTTATCTCCTAAACTATTCACTTCTATCTCATGATATATCTGTATACATATATATATATATATATATATATATAAATATATACTTTTGTTGTTGTTGTTTTGAGGAAGATTAGCCCTGAGCTAACATCTGTGGCCAATCCTCCTCTTTTTTGCTGAGGAAGACTGGCCCTAAGCTAACATCCATGCTCATCTTCCTCCCCTTTACATATGGGATGCCTGCCACAGCATGGCTTGACAAGCAGTGTGTAGGTCCGAACCCAGGATCTGAACTGGCGAACCCTGGTCCGCCGAAGTGGAATGTGTGAATTTAACTGCTGCACCACCAGTCTGGCCCCATCTGTATATATTTGATTGATCTAATTTTGACTTTTTATTTCTCACTTATCAAATTCAACTTATAGTAAATGAAATTGGTTGGCAACTGGTAGATATTACCAATCTCACTGAATCATTTTATATAAATATGATCGTGTTTATGTAGTCTGTTGGTTTTAATTTAATGAAAGGAAACTATGAGAAGTTGGAGAAAACAATGCAGAAGTGGAGAATAAAAAGATGAAGACATGGATTTCGGAGTCATGGGTTTAAGTATCCTTGACCTTTTTTAATTTTAGTTCTTTAAACTCTAAAATCAGTATATCAGTACCTCTCTCATATTGTCATGAGAATTGGATTAGATAATACATCAAATATGTTTGGTGCAGTGCCCAGTATATAGACACGCACTTTAAATATTTATTTTTGTTACCTTTATTATCATTTTTGCTCTAAGCTCTTCAAAGTAAGGGACATGTCCTACTTGTCTTTTAATTTCCATTGTCTGTCACAGAGCAGGGGCTCAAATTTGTTTGGTAAATGAATGAGAAGTATATATCTGTCACATTTCAAAACTTCTGTAAAACAAAATTTTTCTTCATATAAAAATACAAGTATTTCA